CCACACCACCACCACCAAACCACACCACCACAACCCATGGAGTACGCAGTGCCGGCATGGAATCCACAGCTCCTTAAGCACTAAACACAACACTTCTAAAATGTTTACAAGTTTGCAAGAAGATTATTGCCAAAATAAGGACTAAATTACGATAAAAACCAAAGAGGGGAGAGAGAGAAAAGAGAGGACATGATCAACACATACAAGATACTAAGGGAACAACGTGGACAAGGACAGCTTCTTTTAAATTGAGAGAAAGTAGGACAAGAGGACACAAGTGGAACCAGGAAACGTAAATGAGTCGTTGCAATGCAAGGAAATCGTCGTATTTGAACGAGTGTCTTCAGTTCTTCTTGAAGAAGAAGGTTTGGAAGCCACCTCCGTCCATAACTTTAAGGTCAGATTCAACAAGGAATTTGAACATCAGAACAATTTGAATAAAACGCAACAGGTATAAGAAGGCCAGAAGACCTTGACCTCACCTCCACGCAGACACGGCAGGACGCCACTTACAGGTCAAGCACATGACACACACACACACAACACCTCAGACACGGCAGGTCACCACTAACAGGTCAAGCACATGACACACACACACACAACACCGCAGACACGGCAGTAAAGGATACATGGTAGCAGTGCCCAAACATATGTAAGGGCACATGTATGACCAAAGCACACATCACAAGGTGGGAGAAACGACGATGTTTCGGTCCGTCTTGAACCATTATCAATCCTGCCACACACGACTTGATAATGATCCAGGGGCCAGATTCACGAAGCAGTTACGCCAGCACTTAGGAACCTGTACATCTTTTCTCAATCTTTGGCGGCTTTGTTTACAATTATTAAACAGTTAATGAGCTCCGCAGCACTAAGAGGCTGTTTATAACTAATAACAACAGTTGATTGGGACGTTTTTCGTGGTTGTAAAATGTTTAATAAATGTAACCAAAGCTGTCAAAGATTGAGGAACGATGTACACGTTCGTAAGTACCTGCGTAACTGCTTCGTGAATCTGGCCCCTGGATGGTCCGAAACGTCGTCGTCTCCTCATCTTCTGATGTGTGGTCTGGTCACCGTATCTTCAGCCACGTTATTGTGACTCACCGTCTGCGCATGGGTACATGCGCAGACGATATTAATCTTGTGCTAAGTCTAAGATATAAGTCTTGTGCTCAAAATATCAGTACAAAATAGAGCGTCCAAACAATAGATACGAAGTGGATAAGATGATGATCAGTGAAGACTTGGCTGTTGAGTGGGAATAGTACTGTACATTAATGGCAGATGTTGTTATGTAAGATGATGGACATGGAGCAGTGTTTCAGGCATGGTTAAGGCTTCTACACGACTCACTGTGGTTGCTATTAAAGAATTGCAACATGGACTAATTGTATTATCTATTATTGTACTGTTACAATTGTATTACTGTAATTGTACTGTACTGTTATTGTATTATAGTATTATTGTGCAATTATATTATCTAATGAACTATCACATGAACCAATTGTACTTCTGCATTTTAATTTATTTATATAATCTAATCAGCATACATAATTTTGCAACAGTTTCCACTAGCGACTTCCTCAAGGCTGCTGCCTGCTAATGATAGACTGCTTGCTTGCCATGAATGCCTCTTAATAAAGTTATGCTCCGAATCATTCATTGACCTGTTGTCAAGATGCATACGAATGCCGATAACCAGACCGTCATTATTGTGACTCATCGCCTGCTTACGAATGCCATTTCCTATTATCAACTCAAGCAATTTTCCTACAATAGATTCTGGTATAATTGGCCACTGGTTCGCCGCAAGTGATCTTATCTCCCTTCATAAAAGTCGGCACCACATCGACAACCCTCCACGACTCTGATACCTGCTCGGCTAATAATATATTAAATATGTACGACAAAGGCTTACCAGGCATATCTTAACATCCTTTAAGGATCCTGGAAAATACTTCGTCACGTCTCGGGGACGTTTTGGGGGATTTAATATTTATATGTGTTTAAAATGTAACCACAATAATGTGATGAATCTATAAGAAAATCTTTAACTTCCTCCAAAGTAACTACTAATCATGTCAACTTCTTCTCTAGCATTACATACTCACCTACATACACAAATACATACATTCATATATACATAGTCTGCATAAATAGAATACATATATATACATTCATAAAAGAGAGTTTACACAAAAAAACTCCAGAGAGCAGACATATTTGTATATTCAGAACGGAGAATACAGAATCATTTTATGTCGGGCCAAAGTTTGATATCAATCCACTGAGTAGTTTCTGAGGGCACGACCCATGCTGTGAGGTGCCAGGCACTCTTTTACGACAAGCTGGCACACTGGCACTTCAGGGGGGGGGGGGTGGAGGGGGCGGGAATGAAGAGGAGGGAGGGGGGGGAAGGAAGGGAAGGAGATAGGCAAGGAACGGAGAGGGAAAGTCCGGGGAAAAGGCAGATTTATGATTCGAATTTCTTTTTTTTTTTTTTTTTCAAATGTTGGCATTTGTTTATGATTAGTGATGATGAGGAAGATGGTGATGATGGAGAGGATAGTGACGGTGGTGAGGAAGATAGTGATGGGGAGGATGATGATAATGATGATGATGGTGAAGATGATGATGAGGAAGGTGGTGATGATGGAGAGGATGGTGACGGTGGTGAGGAAGATAGTGATGGGGAGGATGATGATAATGATGATGATGGTGAAGATGATGATGAGGAAGATGGTGATGATGGAGAGGATGGTGACGGTGGTGAGGAAGATAGTGATGGGGAGGATGATGATAATGATGATGATGGTGAAGATGATGATGAGGAAGGTGGTGATGATGGAGAGGATGGTGACGGTGGTGAGGAAGATAGTGACGGAGAGGATGATGCCATGCTGATGATAGAGACGAGGATGGTGATGATGATGAGGATGGAGATAATGGTGATGCTGTTGATTGTGATAAGGATAATGGTGAGAGTGGTGATGATAATGAATAAATAGTGACTGTGAAAATTACCAACGGACACTAAGCCAAAATATTATTATTGAAGAATAAACATACACCAAAGACATTTTCAATCGACTTGGAAAATTATAAATTATCATAGTTACATAAACTGAATTAAACTAACAAAGAATTGAGCATAAAAAGTATAATTATTGAGGTAAATGACACCTCGGTGCCCACGACCCGTACAAATGTGGTTACAGATAGATATTAATGACCGGATATCGGATATTTCCTCGGTTGAATAAATAATAACCAATATATAATGGCGGCCAATATATATATATATATATATATATATATATATATATATATATATATATATATATATATATATATATATATATATATATATATGTATTCCCGTATGTGGCTGGTCCACATTAGTTTACTTTTTTGCAACTGTGGGAAAACTATAGTGTATTGGTTGATGTTCTTGTGTTTTCCCGAAGGCCCTGTCCACTGCTGTACCAGTCAGCCAATCACCGCTACCACTGCTGTACCAGTCAGCCAATCACCGCTACCACTGCTGTACCAGTCAGCCAATCACCGCTACCACTGCTGTACCAGTCAGCCAATCACCGCTACCACTGCTGTACCAGTCAGCCAATCACCGCTACCACTGCTGTACCAGTCAGCCAATCACCGCTACCACTGCTGTACCAGTCAGCCAATCACCGCTACCACGGCTGTTCTACACAGTCAATCACAGTCAGTATTAGCAACTACAAACCGAGCATAGTAAAGACAGGACACAGAAGATCTTTCCGTCAATGACACAGTTACCAAAGCTGCTCCTGTCTGGGGGAGACGGGAGCCCGTGTAGGCCAAGCTTGACCCAACCATTGTAGTTGGTGCGTAAATGCTTACCACTATACTATTAAGGACTGTGGTATCATTAACAATCGTTTAAGTGGTTGGCCTTCAGTCTTTCTGGATCAGGTTTAAGGTAGTGTCTTGACGGAGGGACTACAGTAGCGGGGGTTCAGCAAGTCTGAGCTAACAGTGACTCCCGTAGCAGCAGTTTGAAGTCGATAGACGGGCTTAACATTGTTTACACCGGGTCTTCGCGGAGACGTCATAAGCAAATGATGCCGGAGACGCCAGCAGTAGCGGATTCAGACAATCCCGATACCTGGGGAAGGTTACAGCGGCAGCTGGGCCAGACAGTCCCTATATCTGGGGGAGGATACAACAACGGCGGCGGCGGCGGCGGCAGCAGCAGCCGCAGCAGCAGCAGCAGCAGCAGCAGCAGCAACTGCAGCAGCAGCAGCAGCAGCAGCAGCGAGTCGTAGCTCCCCGTGTGCGCGCTGAGGCGTCAACTCCAGCACCAGGAGAATATTTCGTGGCAGACTCTTCACAATGAAAAATATCCTCGGGGCGCTTGAGTAACTATTTCGGATATCTGATGTGTTTGACAAGCATAACCCAATATCGAGAGCCAACGCCAGGCGCTATCTGCCCTCTCCTCTCTTCTCCTCTGCCTCCTGTTTGTTCTGCTTCCACCAATTTTTCCAGAGCGCTTGACACTCGCACCAGGCTCCATCACACTGTTGTTCCTCAGTGGAATTTTGGCGCGCGACTTCGAATGGATAAACAAAATCTTGCGAAGAGGGAATTTTTGGCGGGAGTCTACCAGTTGAAGAATACGGAAAAGTCCTGGAGTACAGATCCAAACAACGAATAATACAATACAATAATAAATTGTTGGAAATTTATTCGCGTAGTTATGAATGAAAACAAAACAAAAAAAACACCCAGAGGACAAAAAGCGCGCGAAATATTTGGCGCGCATCTTACAGAGCGCGGGAAAATCTGGTGTGTCTCACAGCCACTCGGCTCCCTTCACTATAATACTTCACAACGACATTCTCAAAACAAATACGTTTGTCCGACTCACGCATATTACTTGCTATTATCATTCTTTCCTCCTTTTTTCCCCCTTTTTCCCTCTGGAGAATCCAGGGAAGGAAATTCCCTCATTTGTCGCGTCGGAGTGGACACCATAAATCCCACATTTTCTTCACGCCATTTTCCACCTCTTTGGCTACTAGGTCCCCGTGACGGCTGAGTCCACGTCCTGGGGCTGCTGAGTCCACGTCCTGAAGCTGCTGAGTCCACGTCCTGGGGCTGGCTGAGTCCACGTCCTGGGGCTGCTGAGTCCACGTCCTGGGGCTGCTGAGTCCACGTCCTGGGGCTGCTGAGTCCACGTCCTGGGGCTGCTGAGTCCACGTCCTGAGGCTGCTGAGTCCACGTCCTGAAGCTGCTGAGTCCACGTCCTGGGGCTGGCTGAGTCCACGTCCTGGGGCTGCTGAGTCCACGTCCTGGGGCTGCTGAGTCCACGTCCTGAAGCTGCTGAGTCCACGTCCTGGGGCTGGCTGAGTCCACGTCCTGGGGCTGCTGAGTCCACGTCCTGGGGCTGCTGAGTCCACGTCCTGGGGCTGCTGAGTCCACGTCCTGGGGCTGCTGAGTCCACGTCCTGAGGCTGCTGAGTCCACGTCCTGAAGCTGCTGAGTCCACGTCCTGGGGCTGGCTGAGTCCACGTCCTGGGGCTGCTGAGTCCACGTCTTAGCTGAGGCCACGTCCTGAGGCTGCTGAGTCCTCGTCCTAGCTGAGGCCACGTCCTGAGGCTGCTGAGTCCACGTCCTGAGGCTGCTGAGTCCACGTCCTGAGGATGCTGAGTCCACGTCCTGAGGATGCTGAATCCACGTCCTGAGGATGCTGAGTCAACGTCACTGCAGTGCCAGCAGTGAGGGACAGTGCCAGCAGTGATGGGCAGTGCCAGCAGTTTTGGGCAGTGCCAGCAGTGAGGGACAGTGCCAGCAGTGATGGGCAGTGCCAGCAGTGAGGCAGTGCCAGCAGTGAGGCAGTGCCAGCAGTGAGGCAGTGCCAGCAGTGAGGCAGTGCCAGCAGTGAGGCAGTGCCAGCAGTGAGGCAGTGTCAGCAGTGCCAGGAGTTAGGGACAGTGCCAGCAGTGCCAGGAGTGAGGGACAGTGCCAGCAGTGAGGGACAGTGCCAGCAGTGCCAGTAGTGAGAGGCAGTGCCAGCAGTAAGGGACAGTGCCAGCAGTGAGGGACAGTGCCAGCAGTGAGGGACAGTGCCAGCAGTGAGAGACAGTGCCAGCAGTGAGGGACAGTGCCAGCAGTGAGGGACAGTGCCAGCAGTGAGAGACAGTGCCAGCAGTGAGGGACAGTGCCAGCAGTGAGGGACAGTGCCAGCAGTCAGGGACAGTGCCAGCAGTGAGGGACAGTGCCAGCAGTGTGGGACAGTGCCAACAGTGAGGGACAGTGCCAGCAGTGAGGGACAGTGCCAGCAGTGAGAGACAGTGCCAGCAGTGAGGGACAGTGCCAGCAGTAAGGGACAGTGCCAGCAGTGAGGGACAGTGCCAGTAGTGAGAGGCAGTGCCAGGAGTGAGGGACAGTGCCAGCAGTGAGGGACTGTGCCAGCAGTGCCAGCAGTGAGGGACAGTGCCAGCAGTGAGGGGGCAAGACCTGAACTCATAAAGCAGGTGTTATAGTGGCCAGTTATTGCCCCATAAACCTTAGGGGCAATAAAATGCTAATCAAATATTTAGAATGAGTGTCATATTGCGGGAGATGTTTCCCACTCTCTTGCCCCCTCCCGTCTCCCCCCCCCCCTCTTACCCACTCCCTCTTACCCACTCCCTCTTACCCACTCCCGTCCCTCACTTTTCTCTCCCGTCCACCTTTTCACCATCTCAGTTTCTCTCTGACCTTTTCTACCTGGCCTTTCTTACTCATTCCTCTATTCTCTCTATACTCCTCTCCCTCTATTCTCCCACAATCTCTAAATACAACCTTTCATCCCTTACAACCTAGTCTCTACAACCATCTCCCACCCCCATAACCTCTCAGCATGCTCCACAACCTCTATATCCCCCCCCCCAACCTCCCACCACCTCCACCCCCAAAACTTCCCACCTCCACCTCTATAACGTCTATAACATAGAGGGGTAGGATGGAGAGGGGTCGAGTGGAGAGAGGGAGGGGAGGTAGGATGGAGAGGGGAAGACTGAGGGAAGTAGGTTAAAGACACCAATAACTTACAAACAGACCTGAACATAGAAGAGAGCTTGACACACATGCAAAAACACAAGGACACCTTCACAAGACGACAGATACGCTCAGACCCACACACAGATACGCTCAGACCCACACACAGATACACTCAGACCCACACACAGATACACTCAGACCCACACACAGATACGCTCAGACCCACACACAGATACGCTCAGACCCACACACAGATACGCTCAGACCCACACACAGATACGCTCAGATCCACACACAGATACGCTCAGACCCACACACAGATACGCTCAGACCCACACACAGATACGCTCAGACCCACACACAGATACGCTCAGACCCACACACAGATACGCTCAGATCCACACACAGATACGCTCAGACCCACACAAAGATACGCTCAGACCCACACACAGATACGCTCAGATCCACACACAGATACGCTCAAACCCACACACAGATACGCTCAGACCCACACACAGATACGCTCAGATCCACACACAGATACGCTCAGACCCACACACAGATACGCTCAGACCCACACACAGATACGCTCAGACCCACACACAGATACGCTCAAACACACACACAGATACGCTCAGACCCACACAGATACGCTCAGACCCACACACAGATACGCTCAAACACACACACAGATACGCTCAGACCCACACAGATACGCTCAGACACAGAGATACGCTCAGACACAGAGATACGCTCAGACCCACACAGAGATACGCTCAGACACAGAGATACGCTCAGACCCACACAGAGATACGCTCAGACACAGAGATACGCTCAGACCCACACAGAGATACGCTCAGACACAGAGATACGCTCAGACCCACACAGAGATACGCTCAGACACAGAGATACGCTCAGACCCACACAGAGATACGCTCAGACACAGAGATACGCTCAGACCCACACAGAGATACGCTCAGACCCACACAGAGATATGCTCAGACACAGAGATACACTCAGACCCACACACAGAGATACACTCAGACCCACACACAGATACACTCAGACACACACACACACAATTAGGTGAGTACAATTAGGTGAGTACACAGATACACTCAGACCCACACACAGATACACTCAGACACACACACAGAGATACACTCAGACACACACACAGAGATACACTCAGACCCACACACAGATACACTCAGACACACACACAGAGATACAATCAGACCCACACACAGAGATACACTCAGACCCACACACAGATACACTCAGACACACACACAGAGATACACTCAGACCCACACACAGATACACTCAGACACACACACAGAGATACACTCAGACACACACACAGAGATACACTCAGACACACACACAGAGATACACTCAGACCCACACACAGAGATACACTCAGACCCACACACAGATACACTCAGACACACACACAGAGATACACTCAGACCCACACACAGATACACTCAGACCCACACACAGAGATACACTCAGACACACACACAGAGATACACTCAGACACACACACAGAGATACACTCAGACACACACACAGAGATACACTCAGACACACACACAGAGATACACTCAGACACAAAGTGAAAGACAAAATGAGAGACAAGCATTCAGGTGGACGTCAATCATAGGCGTCTTTATGGGTAATTCCTGTGGGAAGATGGACCATAGTGCTGTTTTATCCTCCTTTCCCCCCATGTTTTATCCTCCTTCCCCCCATGTTTTATCCTCCTTCCCCCCATGTTTCATTCTCCTTCCCCCCCATGTTTTATTCTCCTTTCCTCTGTTTCAACTTCTCCCATGTTTTATGTCTTCGTTCTAGCTATAGTCTTGTGTTTCCTGTTATCGGAGCGTCTTTAACCGCATTTCGGCTTATTTCTTGTTTCGTTATCTTGCGCACTTATTTTACCCTCTTGCTTGTGTATCTCATCTTCCTTCTTCCTTATTCTTTTGTTTTCCTCCTGCTCCTCACTTCTTTTATCTATTTCCTCCCTTGTTTTATCTTTCTATATACTTGATTTTTGCTTCTTTGTTTTCTCTCAGTTTTTGAAGCGAATTGTATTTTATTTCCATGTTTTATTCTTACTTTCTCACTAGATTTATTTTTATTTCCCATTTATCCTTCTTATTCCCTCTTTTATCCTTCTTTGCTCGTTATTTAATCCTTCTCCCTTGATTTATCTTGTTTGTTTTACACCTGCTTCTCCTCACAGCCTTCTTATTTTCGTGTCTTGATCAAGGAAGGAATAAATAAGACGTCCTTTCTTCATTAATCCTTCCTTGTTTTATCACATTTTCTCCTAGTTTTATCGTTCTATTCCCCCCTTGTTTTATCGCCCAGTCCTCCTCTTTTATACGCCTTCTCCCTCGTTTTATCAGCCTTCTGCCTAGTTTTATTACCCTATTTCCCACATTTATTACTCTGTGGCCAATTTAATCGTCCAATTTCTTGATTGACAGTCCTGTTTGCGTGGTGGAAAGGACCGCTAAAGTTAATTTGACCTGTCGTAACCTCTCTTGGCTTCTAGAGAGCCAAGACCGGCTCCCCTAGAGCCGGTCGGCCGAGCGGACAGCACGCTGGACTTGTGATCCTGTGGTCCTGGGTTCGATCCCAGTTTCTTTCACTCAATGTCCCTGTTACCTAGCAGTAAAATAGGTACCTGGGTGTTAGTCAGGTGTCACGGGCTGCTTCCTGGGGGTGGAGATCTGGTCGAGGACCGGGCCGCGGGGACACTAAAAAAAAAAACGAAATCATCTCAAGATAACCTCAAGATAAGATAGAGAAGCTTTTTTTGACTTCTCCTGGCCAGTCCAGACCACAGCTTTGGCTTCCACACTACCTCAAGCGACGCGTCGTAAAGCCTTCTTTTTTTCTTCTGTTTTTGGGTGGCCCGTAAACTCTATAGTGACTTTTTGGTATTCTCGAGTATCTATATCTATTGACTTCTACTGATGTGTTATCTTAAGATTTTTCTGACCTCTTTTTTTGCTACGGTTCAGGCTATCTAAAGGTGGTGTGTCTGACGCATGAATAACAGCCCGGTTGATCAGGTGTTCTCTTGATAATTACAATTTCATGACCTCTCCTGATCTGTCTTGACTTTGCGTGGGCGATCTTGACTTTGCGTGGGCGATCTTGACTTTGCGTGGGCGATCTTGACTTTGCGTGGGCGATCTTGACTTTGCGTGGGCGATCTTGACCTTGTGTGGCCGATCTTGACCTTGTGTGGCCGATCTTGACCTTGTGTGGCCGATCTTGACCTTGTGTGGCCGATCTTGACCTTGTGTGGCCGATCTTGACCTTGCGTGGCCGATCTTGACCTTGTGTGGGCGATCTTGACCTTGTGTGGCCGATCTTGACCTTGTGTGGGCGATCTTGACCTTGCGTGGCCGATCTTGACCTTGTGTGGCCGATCTTGACCTTGTGTGGCCGATCTTGACCTTGTGTGGGCGATCTTGACCTTGTGTGGGCGATCTTGACCTTGTGTGGGCGATCTTGACCTTGTGTGGCGATCTTGACCTTGTGTGGGCGATCTTGACCTTTTGTGGCCGATCTTGACCTTGTGTGGGCGATCTTGACCTTGTGTGGCCGATCTTGACCTTGTGTGGCCGATCTTGACCTTGTGTGGGCGATCTTGACCTTGTGTGGGCGATCTTGACCTTGTGTGGCCGATCTTGACCTTGTGTGGCCGATCTTGACCTTGTGTGGCCGATCTTGACCTTGTGTGGCCGATCTTGACCTTGTGTGGGCGATCTTGACCTTGTGTGGCCGATCTTGACCTTGTGTGGCCGATCTTGACCTTGTGTGGGCGATCTTGACCTTGTGTGGCCGATCTTGACCTTGTGTGGGCGATCTTGACCTTGCGTGAATCCCTCACACATCTTGCCGTTCTACTTTTAAGGGAACTTTTCCAAATGTTACAACTGCCGTCTTTAAAAATTTTGACCAAGTTTTGCGAGCTGCCAAAGCACCGGCAAGTTATTCCGTGGGTGGCGAGGTTGGGCCAGCGCCTCGCCCTTGGCCCTCGCCTCGCCCTTGACCAGCGGGGCAAGGCGGAAACACCTCCACGGGGAAGGTGTGTGTGCAGGGCAGGTAAGACCCGAGCGGCGGCGGCGGCGCCGAGTGGGGTCCCGACGGCACCATTACCGAGGCGCCCTTATTCACCCGCAACTTCGATTGCCTTCATTACGACTTGGGCTTCCCCGTTTGCTGTCGTCGACGCGCGACGGGCACGCGTCCGAATCCTTAGTTCTTTCAACTGTAACCTTTTGTGGGTGCGGGTACTCGCCTAGTTGTATTCTCCTGGTTGTTCTTGCCAGGTCAACACTGGAGTGACTGGTGTATGAGGTCCAGTGAGGAGTGGACTCTGTCATGCCCACATCTGAAGCTGTGTATGGCGTCTGCCTCCACCAGTTCAATTCTTAAGTGTATTCAGTTGTTCACTATTGTTACGACACTGAAACAATTCTCTATACTGTGTCCGTGGCTCATGAAGGGACGAGAGTTTACAGCTGTGTAGTTGGCTCCTTCAGTCGTTCCTAACAGCTTGTGTACCTCAGCTCTGGTACTAGTCTGGTGGCATGTCTTGGGGATTTCTCTTAGTTTCTTTTGTGCGTAATAAGGTAAGGACGCCAGGCTGCTGCCACATATTCCAGAACTGATCAATGTTGCCTTGTGAGCGTCTGTAAAGATGCTGTGTGTGTGTAATCACCTAGTTGTATTCACCTAGTTTGCGGGGGGTTGAGCTTTGCTCTTTCGGCCAGCCTCTCAACTGTCAATCAACTGTTTACTAACTACTTTTTTTTTCCTTGCACACCAGACACACACCCCAGGAAGGTAACAGGGGCATTCAGGGTGAAAGAAACTTTGCCCATTTGTTTCTGCCTCGTGCGGGAATCGAATCAGCGCCACAGAATTACGAGTCCTGCGCGCTATCCACCAGGCTACGAGGCCCCTGTAACTCTGTCACACACACACACACACACTGTGTGTGTGTGTGTGTGTGTGTGTGTGTGTGTGTGTGTGTGTGTGTGTGTGTGTGTGTGTGTGTGTGTGTGTGTGTGTGTGTGTGTGTGTGTGCGCGCGCCATAAAGCCAGGCACTGACCATAAAGGTACAGTTGGCATTAATACATTTCCCTCTGGTAAAAACCCACACTTATAATTTACTTGTACATCATGTGCGCTCATCCCGTTTTTCACGGCCCAATAAACAAGAAAAGACAGTCATTAATTGCGTGGTCCCCGCAGACCATCGTAAGATTAATGACGGCTGTCTAACCAAAGACAAAATGAACAGCCACCTCGTTTGATAATTACTCAGGCCCTAACCACCACAATTTACATGTTATTTAAATGTCGGCAATAACAAGTGAACAAAACATGAGAGATATAATGTGACAAGGAGTTTAGTTCTGAACTATGTTATGTATTAAAGAACTCTTGGTGGTTGGATAGTAAGGTTATCTTGAGATGATTTCGGGGCTTTAGTGTCCCCGCGGCCCGGTCCTCGACCAGGCCTCCACCCCCAGGAAGCCAGCTGACTAACTCCCAGGTACCTATTTACTGCTAGGTAACAGGGGCATTCAGGGTGAAAGAAACTTTTGCCCATTTGTTTCTGCCTCGTGCGGGAATCGAACCCGCGGCACAGAATTACGAATCCTGCGCGCTATCCACCAGGCTACGAGGCCCCCACAAGGTATTGTGGTGGCTACAGTAGGCCTCCTGCGGTTGATAGGCCTCTACCACACAACACTTAACCAGGACTTACACACAGAGATCACACTAACGTGATGCATCAAATGAAGAAATCCACAAGGGCCGTGACGAGGATTCGAACTTGCGTCCGGGAGCATCCCATTCACTCAGTCGATTAAAGGCAGTGTCTGGGATGCTCCCGGACGCAGGTTCGAATCCTCGTCACGGCCCTTGTGGATTTGTTCACTTAACCAAGGCGTTTTAGTGACTTAAGAGACTGACGAAGAGGACTCCACAGGCGACTTGATAACGGTCCAGGACGGACCGAAACGTCGTCGCCTCCTCATCTGCTGGTCTGTGGTCTGGTCTCCCACAATATATTTAACTGTTCCTGTGTGATCATGTAGAATTATCTTATTTTCTCGTCGTCAGCTGCGTCTTTTGTCCTGCATTTATATAATGGCGTCTACACTAGTGGGAGGGTGATGGTTCACTTCCCCCATGTTGTTATAGATTCAGCTACTCGGAACAAGTTCCAAGTAGCACGGGCTATGGTGAGCCCGTAACTTACCTGGCACAGGAGCGGGGCAAGTAGCACGGGCTAGGGTGAGCCTGCCTCCCCCCCATATGGTTTCCTCGTCTATATATCCCACAATTCCCCCCCCCCCTCCTCATCCTCACACTCATTCCCCACACCTACACACACTCCCACTCCCACACACTCACTGCCTCCCTCCCCTTCCCTCCGCTCCCCACCCCTACAACACCTCTCCTTACATCCTAATTCTGCACCGTCACATACCCACACTCACTCTCACCCCCCACTCTCCCTCACGCCCCCCCCCACCACCTCCTCCAAACATCAACATACCAGATCGGCAACTTCAAGACGTACCTTTGATTATTTCTTTATGTAAAAGCTTGGTGACAGCTGCTGCCTTCTTAAGTGGCTCCCACTCTCTTCCTCTCTTCCTCCTCCTCCTCCTTCTCTTTCTTTGCCTGCTATTTCTTTCCCCTCCTCTTCCAGCTTTATTCTCCTCCACGGCCACCCCACAGTTTATCATCGTCCTCCTCCTCCTCCACCACTTATACTCGGACGCTGTGGGAGTGTTTCAACACGTGGGATGCACTGAAAGAACAAGTTGTGGAAGCCATCTCCGTCCACAATTTTAAGGCCAGAGTCGACAAAGTATCCGAACATTGAAACAGTTGAACTGTAAGGCTGCAGTTACAACAGGGAGAGTAGGTGGGTATGAAGAGCTACACCTCACTTCCCTGTAGACACTGTTAGGTTAGTACCCCACAATCTTCTCCACCACCACTGCCCCGCCACACTCTCCTCCACCACTGCTCCCTCAGTATCTTCCTCCACCACTGCTCCCTCCACCTCCTCCTCCACCACTACTCCTTCACCTCCTCTTCCACCACTACTCCTCCCATCTCCTCCTCCACCACCACTGCACCTCCTACTCCAACACTGCCTCTCCAACAACAGAGAACATGTACTCAGATTGAAAAGACAATAGGAAATTCTCACAGAAAATGACAAAAAGGTATTTGAATAGCTGAAAAAAAAATTCCAGGAGAGTTTTACGACAGGACTAGTGTGGAGACCAAGGTTGCGGGATGAAAGGTCGGAAGAAACAATGGATGACATTGACGTCACTGTAGAAGAGGCAACAAAACATCTGAAGGAAGCTAGATGTCCTAAAATCAATGTGACCAGACTTAGTCTGACCGTGGCTGCTGAAGGAGGCTGCACAAGTACTTTATCACCCTTTATCTAGAGCCGTTAATAAAACGCTATAAAAAGGTAAATTCCAATAATTCTGGAAAAAGGCAAATACAGTCGCAATATTGAAAAAGTGGGATACACAGAAGACACTAACTTACAGACCAGTGTCACTGACAAGTTTACCGTGTAAAGTGGTGGGGATATCTTGATGATATCTTGAGGATATCTTGAGATGATTTCGGGGCTTAAGTGTCCCCGCGGCCCGGTCCTCGACCAGGCCTCCACCCCCAGGAAGCAACCCGTGACAGCTGACTAACACCCAGGTACCTATTTTACTGCTAGGTAACAGGGGAATAGGGTGAAAGAAACTCTGCCCATTGTTTCTCGCCGGCGCCTGGGACCGAACCCAGGACCACAGGATTACAAGTACAGCGTGCTGTCCGCTCGGCCGACCGGGGAGAGTAATCAGGGTGAGAATAGTGAGGCATCAGGGAGAGGACCAACTTTACAACTAAAGGTCAGCATAGATTTAGAAAGGGAAAGTCGTGCCTGACAAACTTGACTGAGTTCTATGATAAAGTTACTGAAAAAGAAGGCTGGGTTGGCTGCATTTTCCTAGTGTCACCAAGATATTTACGCTGTTGCTCATGAAGGGCTGGTGCACAGGAAGCTGAGCACACTGACACAACCTCCAAGCCTCACCTTGTAAAGCAAAATATGAAAATTAAAAAGTACAATGGTTTGTAACAAGACTGATGGTAGAGCTAAATGAATTAAGCTATGAAAATAGGCTAATAGAACTAAATCTCACAACCATAGAGAAGAAAATTAGCAGAGGGGATATGATCATGACATACAAGATAAAAGAAAATACAAAGGGACAAGGACAGCCTTTTCAAATTAAGAGACAGTAGAACAAGAGGACACAGGTGGAAGATGGAAACATAACTAGTGGTCAATAAGTGGTAGCCAATGAATGAAGCGAACGACACCTCCATCCACAACTTTAAGGCCAGATTGACAAAAAATTCGAACACCAGAAAACTTAAACTATAGCGCAACAGGCCCAACGAGGCTATTAGACGAGGCATAAAGAGCTATACCTCACATCCCCCGTAGATAGTGATAGGTAAGTATACCTCCTC